AGAAAAATAAGAGGCCCAGGGGCTGGGGCTGAGGCTCAGTGGCAGAACACTTGCCTAGTACACTGGGTTTGATCCTCGGCACCACATAAAAATGAATATATAAAAATAAAAGGTATTGAGCTGGGGTTGTGGCTCAGCAGTAGAGCACTCATCTAGCACGTGCAAGACCCTGAGTTCAATCTTCAACACCACATAAAAATAAATAAATAAAATAAAGGTATTGTGTCCAACTACAACTAAAAAAATAAAAAAATTTTAAAATAAATAAATAAATGAAAGGTATTGTGTACATTATAAAAAATTAAACAATAAAATGCCAATTTCATGTTAATTACTAAATGTAGTTATTGAAAAAAAAAAAGAAGAGACCCAGAATAGCCAAAGCAATCCTTAACAAGAAGAGTGAAGCAGGAATCATCACAATACCAGACCTTAAACTATACTACAGAGCCATAGTAACAAAAATGGCATGGTATTGGCACCAAAATAGATGTGAAAACCAATGGTACGGAATAGAAGACACAGAGACAAACCCACATAAATACAGTTATCTCATACTAGACAAAAACGCCAAAAACATTCACTGGAGAAAAGATGATCTATTCAACAAATGGTGCTGGAAAAATTGGAAATCCATATATAACAAAATGAAATTAAACCCCTATCTCTCACCATGAACAAAACTCAATTCAAAGTGGATCAAAAACTTGGACACCAGAACAGAGACCCTGCGCCTAATAGAAGAAAAAGTAGGCCTAAATCTTCATCACATCAGCTTAGGATCTGACTTATTAACAAAACTCCTAAAGCACAAGAAGTAAAATCAAGAATCAATAAATGGGATGGATTCAAACTAAAAAGCTTTCTCTCAGCAAAGGAAACAATAATGTTAAGAGAGAGGCAACAGAATGGGAGAAAATCTTTACCATACATACCTCAGACAGAGCATTAATCTCCAGGATACATACAGAATTCAAAAAAAACAACAACACACCAAACAAAACAAAACAAACAAACAAAAAACCCCAAATAACCCAATCAATAAATGGGCTAAGGAACTGAACATTTATTTCACAGAAAAATACAATCAATCAACAAGTATATGAAAAAAATGTTCAACATCTCTGCAGTTAGAGAAATGCAAACCAAAACTACTCTAAGATTTCATCTCACTCCAGTTAGCATGGCAATTATCACAAATATAAGCAACAATAAATGTTGGCAAGGATGGGGGGAAACGGTACATTCATACATTGCTGGTGGGACCGCAAATCGGTGCAACCATTATGGAAAGCGATATGGAAATTTCTCAGAAAACTTGGAATGGAACCACCATTTGACCCAGCTATCCCACTCCTCAGTATATACCCAAAGGACTTAAAATCAGCATACTACAGTGACTTAGCCACATCAATGTTATAACAGCTCGACTCACAATTAGCTAAACTATGGAACCAACCTAGGTGTCCTTCAACAGATGAATGGATAAAGAAAATGTAGTATATATACACAATGGAATAGAACTCAGCCTTAAAGAAGAATGAAATAATGGCATGTACCAGTAAATGAACAGAACTGGAGAATATGGTGCTAAGTGAAATAAGCCAATCCCCAAAACCAAAGGCTAATTGTTTTCTCTGATACATGGATGCTAATTCACAATAAAGGGGAGTGGGGCTAGGGAAGAACAGAGTTACTTTGGATTAGGCAGAAGGGAATGAAGGGAAGGGAGGGGGCATGGGGGTAGGAAAGATAACAAAATGAATCTGAAGGCAGACCACGGGGTGCCATGGCATACACCTGTAATCCCAGCAGCTTGGGAGGCTGAGGCAGGAGGATCACAAGTTCAAAGCCAGTAATGTTTTGAACAACTAACATTAAAAATAAATAAAAAAAAAAAAACAAGTTCAAAGCCAGCCTCAGCAAAAGCGAGGCACTAAGTAACTCAGTGAGGCTCTATCTCTAAATAAAATTCAAAAAAGTGCTGGGGATGTGGCTCAATAGTTGAGTGCCCTGTAGTTCAATCCCTAGTACCCCCCCACCAAAAAAAAAAAAAAAAAAAAAAGAATCTGACATTGATTCTACATCATGTACAACCAGAAGAATGAGAAGTTATACTCCATTTATGTATATGTGTTAAAGTGCATTCTACTGTCATGTAACTAAAACAAAAAAAATTCCTTGTCAAAGAGAACATTTTCTTTAATAAGGTTCAGAAAGACTTTATTATAATAAGAACAACAGATAACTTATGAATACTAAAATTTGAGAATCAATATCTAACAAATTAATGCAAAATACTGAATACACGTAAGAGTCAAGAGAATAATGACAAGTACATAATACATGAAAAAGAAAAAGGTGAGTAAAGCAAAGAATAAATTACTTAAAACTCTGGTATGCTGTACTCTTAAGAAAAATAATGTGATGTTTGAAAATAGTTTGGAAGGCAGTTGATGTTGGAAAAAAGTTCTTAATATGTAATTGTGCAAATCATCCTACTAACTGTGAAGACCACACATAGGATGATTTGGAAAGCACTCTTAAATGTAAGGTCACGAGCTGGGGTTGTAGCTCAGTGGTAGAGCACTTGCCTAGCATGTGTGAGGGACTGAATATAAATAAATAAAAATATATGTAGGCTTTTTTAACTGAACAGATACTTCTCAGAAGATGATATACAAATTATTCAACAAATATATGAAAAAATGTTCAACATCTCTAGCAATTAGAGAAAGGCAAATCAAAAGTACTCTAAGATTTCATCTCACTCCAGTCAGAATGGCAGCTATTAAGAATACAAACAACAATAAGTGTTGGTGAGGATGTGGGGGAAAAGGCACACTCATACACTGCTGGTGGGACTGCAAATTGGTGCAGCCAATAAGGAAAACAGTATGGAGATTCCTTGGAAAACCAGGAATGAAACCACCATTTGACCCAGCTATCCCACTCCTCGGTTTACACCCAAAGGACTTAAAAACAGCATACTACAGGGACACAGCCACATAAATGTTTATAGCAGCACAATTCACAATGAAACCAACCTAGATGTCCTTCAGTAGACATAAAGAAATTGTGGTATATATACACAATGGAATATTACTTAGCATATTTTTTAAAATATTTTTTTAGTTGTTGATTTTATTTATTTATTTATTTTTATGTGGTGCTAAGGATTGAACCCAGTGCCTCACACATGCCAGGCAAGCACTCTACCACTGAGCCACAACCCCAGCCCAATTACTCAGCATTAAAAGAGAATAAAATCATGGCATTTGCAGGTAAATGGATGGAGATAGAGAATAAATATAATGCTAAGTGAAATAAGCCAATTCCAAAATACCAAATACCGAATGTTTTCTCTGATACAAGAATGCTGATTCATAAATAAGATGGTGGGGGGAAGCATGGGAGGAATAGACCAACTTTAGATAAAGCAAAGGGGAGGGAATGAAAGGAAGGGGGTATCAGGGTAGGAAAAATGGTGGAATGAGATGGACATCATTCCCCTAAGTACATGTACGAAGACACGAATGGTGTGACTCTACTTGTGGTTCAATCAGAGACATGAAAAATTGTGCTCTATATGTGTAATATGAACTGAATCACATTCTGATATCTTATATAACAAGTTAGATAAATAAATAAGTTAATAAAAATCAACTAAAAATATTTTTAAAAATAAGGTCACATGTCATGCACAGCATGTAGTAGTAGTACACACAGTAGAGTTATATTTAATTATATCCATTCTAAACTTTGGTAATCGAAACATAATTAACCTTTCTGCTGTGGTAACCTTTATATAAACAGCAATAACTGTCAAATATTATATCTATACTGATGTGCAAATTCAGGGCACTTGCTGTCAGACCAAGTTAATTTCTATTTTTGTAATCAAAATCACCTAAACCAGGACAGGCTAAAGTTAAAACTAAAGATAACTTTTTCAAGACTAATAGCATTGTATAACAAAACTTAAATCCCTGAAAAATCACTAACATATTCATATAAAGACAGACTATTATTTTGTGAGCAAAGATTCCTGAAGATGGTGAAATATTAAGTTCTAACTCATAATTTACTTCAGTTGTGGAAAGTCACTTTGAACTAGCAGAGATAAAGAAAGGAACTTTACATAACTCTCAAAGGATCTCACTACCAGAATAAAACATTTGTCCATCTTACCTATAAAAAGCAACTTTTCCCTCTAAACTCATAAAACCAATGAAATGTTCAGTTCTAAAGTATCAAATAATGCTCTAGAAAATCCAATTATATTCCATATAACTCTAAGATACAGCTATTTCAGCATTTCCACACGATTCTTTTCACACTTATAAAGAAACCATATGGGGAAATGTAGTAGCCAATGCATGAGAACAGGTTACATAGGAAGCAACCCCTGCTATCAAAGGCTTTGAATCTATTATTAACAATTAGTTTGATACATGCAGGTCCAGAACCATCCATAAGTTCTTTTTGCAACTTTTTCATTTCGCAGCTTGTTTTGAAAGACAGAAACCCTCAAAGTAAAGAAAGTCGTTTGAGGAGGTTAGTGATAGATTACAGCTATTTTCCAACAAGCAGTCAATCAAAATTCATCATTAAACCCCGGCTCCCAAATCCCTAACTCCTTAGCCATCCCTCACAGGCTCACCGTAACCCTTATTTCACACAAATCCAGACCTATCCATATATACATATATACCATTGGTCGCCAAGTCTCCCACATTGGCACAACGACCTCTCAACGCGCATTTAATAGCTAATCAGGGGTCATTCTTCCTTCTCCTACTGCCTATGCAGACTTCATACTGCCTACGATCTCTTCTTCCATTTCTTCCACAACAATCACAACTCAAAACAATTTTTTAAAAAGTCCCTTTTCCCCAACGGCAGACAGCTTTTTAAACTCTATGGCCCAGCCCCGCCTTTCTTACTCCCTATCCTGCCTTTGTTATTCAAAAGGTAGGGTCCAGGAAAATCTCACTCACCTCATGCTATAGGCACCAGCACCCAGTTCCTGACCGATCCCGGACAGGCTAGCATCAAAGTCCTGCACCAGCCCGGATTCAATCACTTCATCGGCCAGAGGCAGCTTCAGAGCCCAAGCCATCCTGGCTCCTTCCGTGCCCCAGGTGACACCGCTTCTTTTACAAATGCGCGGAGCGTAACTCTACCCCACAGGGGTTAAGACAGTAGAAAACTCCAAAATCACACACACTGCCCACCATCCACCCGCAAGCGTGAGCAGCAGTGGCTGCACAACTAATCTCCCGTACCCTTAGCTACTCGCTCTTGGCCACCGCGGCTTCCAAAATCCCTCCCGCCCCGTTCTCAGGAGTGTAAGGCTCCCTTTGCTCAACTATTTCAGACTTCCCATAGACAGCCCTGGACTCCTGCACTCCCACTCCTTGGACTAGCCTCTGGAGCTCGCTGGCGGTCGCTCACTGCCTTCCACACAGACCAGTAGCAGCGACTGGCAACATGCACCACGCTCTTACGCCGCTTCTGCACCTTTTCCCCCGCCCCCTTCTGCTGGAAACCCCCTCCCTCCCTCCGGGGACCCGCTCTCTTTCCCCTCCAGGCCTCGCTTCCGGTCAGTACCAAGATCACTTCCGGTCAACCTTTCTCAACCCCACGGCTCTTAAAATCAAATCCAGGTTTCTGCTGAACCTACTCCCCGCCCTCTGCAGCCCCCTATGGCCTGGAAACATGGAAGAAGAAAGTCCAGCACAGGCTTGAAACCCAGACTCGCCAGGCCCCTCCACCACCCGCCGCCCCAGCTCCAACCAATCATGGCACCCTCTTCCTCCGCCAGCCCGGCGAGCATGACGTCACCCTGCCACTCGCCAATGAAGAAGACACCTCGTTGGCCTCGCAGCGATGATAGGCTATCTGCACTCCCCCCGCCCCGCCCCGGGAGATGGGTTGGGCGGTCTCTGAAAGGACTTGGCTTGAGTTGAGTGTCTGGATTTAAGACGTGTCTGGGGACGGTGGAGTTCTGATGTCTTCTGCCTACCAAATTGCGCCTAAGTCTTAGCGGAAGCCCTTCTTCTAGCCTTTTCTAAACCGTCTCCAACTCCCAGCGAGACTCTGTTTCTCAAAAGTTCCCTGTGTGCCCTCGTTTGCTTCTATTTATCCTCCCAGCTCTTTAAACTCTCCTCTCTGCGGAGGCCAAGACCCTCTTAAACTGCATTTCCCTTGATACGCATCACATCTTCCGCCTTCTTCCTGATGCATTTGAACTGTACGAAATGGGCAAAAGTATTGTTTTTTAAAAGGTTGTGGTGGAGAAATGTTAGGATTTAAAAGATTTGAAGATAAATTTTGGGCTGGTGTCTTCTCTTACTAGTTTAATGTCTTCCGAATAGTCAATCTATGGAGGAGATTTAGCTTCCTGGATTGTAAATAAAGGTAACCATGCCTTCTCCCTCTTTCTCTTTTGAGGATCAAGGAACAACAATGGTCACTTTTTATTAAGCATCATCTATATGCTAGGAACATTATTACATTATTGGTAGTCCTCAAGACAAATCTTGTAATTAGAATTATATATATATATGTATGTATTTATGTTTCTAATTATATATAATTATATTTATGAATATATAATATATATATGTATAATTTTTTTGGTACTGGGGATTGAACCCAGGGGCACTTGACCACTGAGCCATATCACCAGACCAGCTCTTCTTATTTTGAGACGTGATCTAGTTAAGTTGCTTAGGGCCTCACTAAATTGCTGAGGCTGGCTTTGAACTTGAGATCCTCCTGCCTCAGCCTCCCAGATCACTACGATTACAGGTATGTGCCATAGCTCCTGATTTCTAAAGGTAAATATTATATTTACCTTTAGATTTCACCAATAATGAGAATAGTTAAAGGGTTTAAATTGGCCACATCTAAATTAGAATGCTAATTTGAGATCCAGTTCTAAAGACTGGCATTCCCCCCCCCCATATGTAAAGGTATTAGTTCATTGTTGTATTCTGTTACTTTTTTAAACAATCATTTTAATTATAATATTTTTATATATCCGCCTCTCCCACTAGAAGTGATCTTAAGAATAGAGAATAGGTTTTTTTCAGACTTGTACTCTAAATATCTCCTACTATAGTTCCTGCATCGAATAGGACTTTTTTTTGGCAGGGGAGAGGGGGCTTGCTATGGATCAAACCCTGGCCTCATGCATGCTAAGCACATGCTCTAATCACTGAGCTACACCCCCATCCCCTCCAAAGGACTTTTTAAAAATACTTAGGCACTAGTATGGCAATATGTAAATCAATGGATGTGTAACTGATGTGATTCTGCAATCTGTATACGGGGTAAAAATGGGAGTTCATAACCCACTTGAATCAAAGTGTGAAATATGATATATCAAGAACTATGTAATGTTTTGAACAACCAACAATAAAAAATTTAAAAAAATAAAAATAAATAAAAATATCTATTGACTTAAAAAAGGAATTGAGACTTAAGAGAAGGGAAAGAGGTTGACATGAAGGTGATGATATGCTCCTGGTTTCAGCCATAGGTTTCTCTCTAGGAGCTCTAGGCTTAAACACATCTTCGTACTTTGATAAGCCCCAAGATCCAAGTCTTATTTCATTCATGGACCATCCAATATCTCTTTAATTCACTTTCCTTTCCTTGAGCCAATTTAATCCCAAAATATGTATCTGTAGGTAAAGGAATGAATGGGTCCTCATCTCAGAGACCAGAAGAGGGAGATCACATGGAGACCTGAAGATTCAAAATTTCTTGAATCCAGAATTGTAATCCAGAGTAGAGTAAAATACTTATTAGATAGAATCATCCTTTGTTTGAACAAGAGCTCTACTACTAGCTGCATAATCTTGGGCAAATAACTTTATATCTCTGAGCCTCGGTATTTTAATCTAAAAATTAGTAATAATTATACCTCTTCCTAAAATTGTTGTAAGGATTAAATGAGGTACCAAAGTAGCCCCCCAAAAGTAATGATTCAATTAATATTAGCTCCTGTCTTTCACCAGTCCATTTCTGCTTTTCTGTTAAGATTGGGTTAATATTATCCTATTTGAATTACATTAATTTACATTGCATGATATGTTAAGGTTTTAGTAGCATTTTCATATACATTATCTCAATCTCTTTTAAATATTTACTTTTTAATTGTAGTTGGACAGCATACCTTTATTTTATTTATTTTTATGTGGTGCTGAGGATCAAACCCAGGGCCTCGCATGTGCTAGATGAGCACTCTACCGCTGAGCCCACAACCCCAACCCCCCCAAGACTAAATTCTGAACCAACATAAAGATTTTTGCAAAGGCCCACCTTTCCATTTATTAATTCCAAAATAAACAGAAGTGAAACAAGAGGCAATTCCTTAGCCCTGGCCCATCCCAGATGGAATGCGGATCAGCCTGAGACACATACCCTTGATCCCAGTTTCCCCTCAGAAAAGACCTTACAGACTATTTACCCTTGGAATTATAACTGGAGAAATGACTTTTCCTTTCCTTTCCCTTCCTCACTAAATTAGGAGTGGAATCAGAATTCTAGGATTGGAAACAGGCAGCAACCCCTAAAAATTCAGCAACATCTATCAATAGATCAGATTTTGTACCCATAAATTCATCCTTCAATGAAAAATCATAGCTCCGATTAAACATAATAAATGAAACTAATTAACCAGAGCACCTGTGGTACAGAGCTTGGAATTCAGTATTTTGGTCATTGGATGAAGTTAGTCTCATTGTGAAGGGTTCATTTACCTAGATTAAGTCCTGGAACTTAACATTATTTAGATGAGACACAGCAGGGTCTACCCTGGTGGGTGGAAACTCTACTGCAAAGATCAGGAAGATAGCAACCCCCAGGTCCCACCTACCTCTCAGAGTCAAACTTTAAAGACAGCCCACCTGGATTCAAATCCTGTCTCTGCTGCTCATAATGCAACCTTGAGCAGATTCCTCATTTTCCCTGAATCTAAAACCCTATCTGTAAAATCAATATGAGAGTCTTACTTTGTAGAATTATTGTAAGAATTGACTGAGATAATGAATGTTAAGTGCTTAGAACAGTGCCTAGCATGTAGTAATGGGTAAAATTTAGCCATTATTATGGTTGACAAAAAGAGAATACTCCAGCACTTATCTACCTCTTGAGAGAAATCAGGCTGGAGGACTCAGGCTCCTTTCCCTACTGTGATTCCATCCCGCCCCCCCTTCCCTTCACACTCAATTACTCAGGTCCTGCAGGTCAATCAGTATTATTGCTGAAATCCTAAGTCAATCCTTGAGCATTTTCCTTCAGGTAAAGGAAGAAACTAAAACCAAGGAAGCTTTTTTGAGGACTGACCACCTAGCCTTAACTTTTCCTGTATTTCTGCACCCCACCCAAGGAGCCTGTGAAGTCGAGTCTGTCTTCTCTGAAAGACCCTTTAGTTGAAAGGAAATGAAATCATCAGTTTTCACAGTTACACAGTTCAAAGCAATCTCAGGTTCTTCTCCTCTCCTGTCTGTAGTTCAGAAACCAGCCCACATCTTCTCCAGACTATAAAAGGTCAGTTCCCCCTTTATAACCATGCAGAGTACAGTGAAATTCCCAGGCCTGGGAGGAAAAGAACTTCAGTTCTTCCACAAACCCACCTGCTTCTAGGACAGCCTTCCTGGGCCAACTGCCAGCAACCATTCTCAACTGGTCTGAGCCAGAGAGATCAGTTCCCAGGACTCTCCTGGTGGGAGCTGCTGGCACTGTCTCTATCTGGTGAGATTCCATTCACTCCCACGGTTCACAGTCCAAACCCTGCATGGTAAGCAGAATCCCCTGTCCCTGCTCTGTCCCTGTTGCCTGAAGTCTCAGCTCTCATTATTTTCTTGAAAGGAAGAGTAGAAAATGCATTCAGTTATCCATTTGACAATTATTGAGCACTTACAATGTGCCCCTGACCTATGTATTGAGTAGTCACAGCCCAGTATGTGAGGTCTATGCTGGGGTTAGTGTTAGCTTCTTTTTGTTATATTTCCCCAGTATTTCAGAGTTCTGTAAAGTGCCTCTGATTTGTAAGCCTTGTGTCAGAGTCTTAGACATCTATTACCACTGTGAGTGGGGGCCAGGTGGTGGTCGTCTAAAACCAATCCCTCTTCACCTCATCTGAGGTGTAGTAATGGTGGTTGGGCAGAGTCATGGCCTTGCCCTTGCCAGCTTAGATTATGCAGCTCAGACATCATCAATACCAGGTGGGGGAAGAGAAGACTGTGAAGGAGATGGCCTAAATCCTAGTCCTCAGAGTTAGACAAGCCAAGAAAGAGACACTCATGACAGCTGGGCTCTCTCAGCTGTAAGCTCAGGTGGCAGGCCTTGGAAAAGTGAAAAATGAAGCCCCACTTAATCATACATCCCATTTTTATAAAGAACTGTATAAATCGCTAACTAGTAATGTTCTAGTCTTCTAAATATCTTCTAAATATACCTTCATAATTCAAGCCAGGTTTGAATTTAGATGTCCAGGACTCCTTGAAGTTCCATGGTAGAATGTTCCCCAGTCCAGACTCCCAGTCTAGAGACTGCCTTATCTCCCCTCTCTCTAACTGGAGAGGCAAAGGGCTTTGTGTACACATGTAGACCTCAGCCTGTATATACAAGCTCTGTCATGCAAGTCTCTGACAAACAGCTATCCCTTGGTCACTGCTGGCCTGAATATCTGTGTCCCTCCAAAATTGAAACCTAATTCTCAATCAGATAGTATTAAGAGGTGAGGCCTTTGGGAAGATTGATTAGGTCATGAGGGTTGACCAGAACAAGGCCCTTAAAAGAGGCCTTAGGGAGCATGTTTGCCTTTGTACCATGTGAGGTTACAGTGTAAAGACTTCCATCTATGGGGAAGAGGACGCTCATCAAAAACCAGTTCTGTCAGTTCCTTGATCTTTGACTTCCCAGTCTCCATAACCATAAGCAGTAAATTTCTGTTGTTTATAAACTACCAGTCCAAGGTGTTTCATTATAGTGGCCCCAATGAACTAAGACAGCTGCCTCTTGGACACTCAAGTGTACATACCAATATCATAGGCTGTTCTTGGGACTCCGAGAAGAGAGATCCAGGAAATAGGCTTGGCAGAGAATTCTGGGTTCTAGGTACCAAAAGGATAGTCTAGAAGGAGAAAGGGCTCTGCAGACCCTCAGCCCAATAAGGAGGGTCTAAATTGGGAATCTAGTGTGTTCTCTCTCTTTCCACCATGTGAGCAGCTCTGCTCTACCACATTCCTTACCATAATGTAATTTTCAAAACAAATCATAGATTATCTAATAAAAAATAATAATAAAGTGGGAATTGATGGGCTGGGGTTGTGGCTCAGTGGTAGAGTGCTTGCCTAGCATGTGTGAGGCACTGGGTTCGATTCTCAGTACCACATATAAACAAACAAATAAATAAAGGTCCATCAATAAGTAATACAAATATTTTTTTTTAAAAAAAAATAGTAAGAGGGTAATTGAGGGGACTGACTCTGACCTTCTTGCAATGGGATTTTCAATGGTGCAAGCTGACAGCTAGCTCCCTGCCACTTGCCTGACCTCTGACATTGCTTCCTTTATATTTCCACTTTAGGAGGTCACCAAGAAACAGGCAGACCAGTACAAAAGAAAAAATACTGTTTATTCCACACAACTACACCAAGTGTTTCTCTCCAATTCTCCCCTCCCCACCCTCCCTCCAGCCCTCAGTAGGCATTGCCCTGTGCTAGGGGACAGTCAGAACCTTAATGTTAGAATCTGGCCTAAGAGGCAGGAAAGAAAATCTGGGCACAGGAAGATGACTGGATTTCTGAGAAGACAAAAACATCACGGTTTCTCAGTCTAAACTCAAGTGTGTTCCTCAGTTCATTTGACTGAATTCTTTCCCTGGATAAAATGCCATGGTTAGTGCAGGGTCAAAGGCCCCAGCTGATTCAGCCCACAGAAAGTTTTTGGTCTTTCTTTCATTTAAAACAAAACTATATAGTTAAATCATTTCTGCTGTTCCATAGCAAAGGAGCCACTGAGCTCTGACTTAATTTTTAACACCCTTCAGAGCATGATGCTACCAAAACCAAACAAAACAAAACCCAAACAAACAAAAAACAAAAACTGCCTCATAGGTGAATGGCCCAGGCACCATCTGCTTCCTGGGGGATCCTCTGATGGAGGAGCACGGACAGAGGTCATAGGCCAATGAGCTCTGCTTGGAATATATTTCAGGCACATCCTGCACTCCCGGTCTAGAGAATTCAGCTGCAAACATTCAGGTCCCAGTATTCTTCTGAAAGACTGACCCATCTTTCCAGTAGAGGAGAAAATGATTTAGTTCTCGATCAGCCTTGGGAGGACAGATTTAGACAAGGGAGGGGCTAAGAAATCATGACCAGGCCTAATTTAGACCAGTGGTTCACGATTTTTTTCCTGTCAAGCCACAGGACAGATGGTGTCCTCCTGCACATTCACAGCATGGACACACCCTATATTATATGCTACTTCCAGGGCACCAGCTGTGACCCACTTTTTTTCCCAAAAAAAGAAAGCACCTCTGAATGCAAGTGTTTGAGCAAGAAAACCTGCATCTTTCTAACTCATTGTAGTCTGAGTCACTGAATCCTTGAAAGATTTCCATATGGAAAATGATTCCTACTGAAAACTTGTTCACAATACCCCTCCCAAGTGAGTTTGTCATCTCAAAGAGGCAGGTTTATAACCATGGCCTGAAGTGTGGAGCCTCTCCTTTGAAGACGTACTCTCTCCTGGGGGGCTGGCTCAGGTAAGCTGCCCACCCGCTCCTCACCCCTACCACACTCTGGCAGGTTGGTTGTAGCAGACTCACACTGTCTTCGTCTCACTGGCAGGGTTACCAAGAGGGTGGCCACAATGGCATTGCAGAACCTAGGAGGGACCAGTAGTGGGCAGGAAAGGAAGCTAGGTAGAGTAGCTCTACACCAGTGACCAACAGAAGTAGTAATGTGCCCTTACTTGGCGGTCACCCACTTGGGGTAGATCATTTGAGGTACAGTGAAGGACAGCTGCTAGAGACCAGGCATTGTAAAGATAACAATAGTGAAAGGAGAGGATATTTGACTCCGGGGACTTGTGGATCTTTAGGGACAGTGTATATAGCAAGTCTGGGATCATCCAAGCCAACCTCTTAGTCTCTCCTGACCTAAAGTCACATATTGCATTTTAAGGGGTGTCCAGTCACAGTGAGGCTGGAAACTCACTTCACAGCTTGGATAAGATGCTAACCCCCAAGGTACCATAGCTACCCCCTCTAGAGGCAAAATTCATCCTGAACTGGGTAGTCCTGACTCAGAGCAGCACTGGGAGAATTGTCTGCAACAGATATGGTCTACAACTCTGGACAAAGTGAGATATCTCCAATATCCAAAGTTTACAGTTATAAAGAAAATTAGAATTAAGTCAACTTCCCCAAAAGACCTTTCTGGGCTGCCATCAGCTCTTTCTGGATGTTGTCCTTTCCCTCAGGGCCTTCCTGTCTGGTTTATTGTTTAATTTGCTCCTCTGAGAAGGTTCCAATACTGGATTGGGTGAGGGGCTATGGGGGCAAAAGAGGGAGAGAGAAAGTCAGCATTCCTTTCCTCATTTTTTCCCAGAGCTGCCTGTTTGCTGGGCAGTGGGATTTACCAGGGTGCAAGTCCTCGCTCTCTCTTTTTTCCTTTGAGACAGGATCTCATTATGCTGCCTAGGCTAGTCTCAAACTCATTATCCTCCTGCCTCAACCTCCTGAGTAGCTGGGATTACAGGCATGCTGCAGGCCCAGCTACAAATTCTCTTAACCCACATTTTTTGGGGGGAGGGGATGGCCGAGGACAGAAAATAGATTAAAACCCAGGAGAATGGACTTATTTACTAAATTCCAGACCCACAGCAGTCCCAGGGCAACTCCAGGACAGGTAAAGTTTACTGTTGCTCTCTTTCAACACAGATTGTAACAGAAAAGTTTCTGATTTAATGCAAACCCTACCCCCAAACCCCAAAGAACCAGGGAGAGGAGTTCATATGTTCTGGCACAGGTCTTCAGGAACCTTCTGACCTTGAGGTCAAGGCAGACATTGGGTCTGACCTTTGGAGCAGCACAGAAACTTCTGGATTTTTTGGGGGGGGTAGGGTACTGGGGTTGAACTCAGGGGCACTCAACCTCTGAACCACATCCTCAGCCTGATTTTGTGTTTTAATTAGACACAGGGTCTCACTGAATTGCTTAGCGCCTTGCTATTGCTGAGGCTGGCCTTGAACTCTCGATCCTTCTGTTTCAGCCTCTTAAAACTACTGGGATTACAGGTGCACCACTGTACCCAGCAACTTTTCTGAATTTTATATCCTAAGTCCTTTCAGGGGTTTAGTTTGTCTGTAGGTGAAGTGAGGGAAGGTAATGTGAGGCTGTGGTTCCACAGTAAAGGAGATGTAAAGGAGAAAGGAAAGTGGAGAGAGAATGTTATCAAAAGCAAGAGCTAATGGTCCTCAGGAGTTTCTGGTTCCCAGCCAGAATTTGCCCTTCAGAAACCATGTTAGCAAAGTGCTTCCCTAATCACCACCACAAATCTTTTCCTTTGTTATCCTCAGCCCAGAACCTGGGGCTCTCTCATGGGTCCCCTCTGGCCTCCCCAGGATATGAGATATGTGGGAAAGAGGAGAGAGGCATCGACACATGCACACAGTGGAGTCTCATGATGTGGCAAAATGACAGGTTCTGTCATGGCAGTGGAGACAGTCAGGTGTCAAGGGAAGAGTACAAAGTGCTGGAACACAGGGCTGGGGGCCAAGCCCTAGGGGATCTGAAAGACATTCAGCTTGCTGGTGTTCTTGAGTGTCTGGCGCCGATTGCAGAACCAGACTCGCACTACCTCCCGGTCATAGTTGAGCTCTTTAGCAATCTCGGTGATCTCCTGACCTGTGGGTAACGGGTTCTTCTCAAAGTAGGCGTTGAGGGCCTCTATGGCCTGGGGGGTGAAGGAGGTGCGGCGTTTGCGTTTCTTGGAGGGCTCACCTCCCACAAACTCCATCAGGTTCTGCTGGCCTTCCTGGTTCCGGAGTTCAGCCTCATTTAGCCACTTCTCTAGCACTGGTTTCAGCTTCTGGGCACTCTTGGGCGTGATGTCCAGCTTCTCAAACCTGCAGACAACACATGCCCAGGAAGAAACAGAGTGTGTTGGTTTCAGTGCACTACCTTCAAGGGGCTGCTCCTCGTGGAGCTGGTAAGGCCCTTCCCAGTGTCCTCTCACTATCTCCACCATGACCCCTTTGGCTTGTCCAAGACCAGACTCCTCAGACTCTCCAGAATCCCAGGTCTTAACAGTGAGATTATTTCTACAGGCTCAGGTCAACAGGATGATGACAATACTGCCCTAAACAACCATTCTAAAACTTTCACACCCAAATGAATGAAGTCCTTTGAGAAGTCATCTTGAGCGGCCTCCAGAGGACATGAGTGCTGTCCTCCTCCAACTGCACTCTCATAGGAACATGGCTAACATGACAGGCTACTTTTCTGGCTGAGCCAACACGGCACGGTTGTCACTCTAATAGTCATTCTAGTCTTAGCTATGGAGTTGGCAGGCAGATGAAATCACTGGGTTATCCACTGAGCCCAATGAGTTTCTTCTTTGAAACTCTCTGCTACCCTTCCTCTGATATTGACATCAAAACCAGTTTATTAAGGTACACACAGAAAAATCAGCTCTCGTACTTTATAGTCAGGCCTTATAGGAGGGGAAGATGACAGTATGACAGGGTGTGGCCTGGTTGAGGGCCACAAGGGAACTGAAGTTCCTACTTGTGGGACTAAGTTTATAACTCCTTTCCTGCTAGGATTCCTGAATGGATTTGGGTCTTAAATTTCCCCCCAAAGACCACATAAATGCTCAGGATCAGAGAATAAATTTCAGAGAGTTTAGTCAAGTCTTTGGCTACTCCAGGTGTTCATATCCAGATAAATACATCTTATCTGGTAGAAGTCAGGAGCAAGGGGGATATGGTAAGGGGCTAGATGCCTGGTAGGCACTGAGCAGACCCTGACCTTGTCCAGGGCAGCCTTACTTACCGGCAGATGGCTGACTGGCTATAGGCTGGACCTTCTGTTGCAGTCAGAGCCTGGCCCACCTGGGTCTGTGTAAGGCCCAGGGAGAGCCGACGGATCTTAAAGTTCTTGGCAAACTCCCGGATCTCTTCTAAGTTGATCCCATCCTCATCCAGACTTGGAGTATGTGGCTCTAGGCCAAAGGAAAGATCAGAGATGAGTGTGTAAGATGGGAATCATCATTGATTATCTGGTCCATTGGTTTGGACGAGTGCATGGTGAGGAATGGGGACACTAGGCTTGTGCACCTACCTTCATTACCCCTTCCCAAGGCAAGCAGACTTGTGGGAAAGGGGCCGGACCACCCTCTCAGGGCTAAGGCTTATTTTCAAGTTCTTATAGCTCTAACTGCTGACCTTTCCCCCACCCCACAGTCCCTCGTCCTGCCCCAAGCACACTGGTTGGCTGTCCACGTTCCTCAGTGCTAGATGAGAGCCCACAGCAGACAGCCAATGGCTTGGCCTCTCAGAGAAGCAGTCAGCCAACCAACTGAGCAGTCTCTACCATCCTGTCCAGAAACTATCTAGCTCAACAGCAACAGGAATAAGAAAGCTAGCTCCTCGCATTGGGCTTCTGCCCTTTGTGACCTTTGGAATCCAGGAATTTGATTGATTTGAGATGGGATTGCCCAGGCTGGCTTTGATTGCCCACACTCAAGCAATCTGCCTGCCTCAATCTCCTGAGTAGCTGGAACTCCAGGACCATGCCATAGCATATGGCTCCAGGAAATATATAAGAAAAGCAGTATGTGAGCAAGTTAAAACGCCCAAATAAATGCCCCCCACCTTCTCTCTTCCAGGAGCCACTTACTGGATACCAACTGGCTGACCGTGGGAGTCTCTGAGCAGGTGATTGGGATGGGAGCAGAGGCAGATGGCTTGACTGCTGGGGCTGGGCTGGCAATGACCACAGCAGGCTGGGGCACAGCTGGTGTGGGCTGGATGGGCTGCACCTGGAAGAGAGATAAGCCCCTGTTGTTCCTTGCCTAACTCAGGGGGTCAGAATCCTTGGGTGGACCAGTGTGGGAGAGTATGAAATTCTCACTTACCAGTATCCTCCCACCTGTATCCTCTCACAAAACAAGATTAAAGCTGCTGATTCCTAATACCCATTCCACAATAGTGATCTCTGAAATAAGTAGAGCAACATGCCCAGTGAAGCTGAAGCCACCTATGCAGATGAGAGACTCAGAATTCTGTCTCAGTACTCTTGGTGAAAGCCCCAACAAGTTTCTACCTTTGGGATAACTGATCTCACATCTCTGCCCTCAAAGGAGAAGCTTATGCTAGATTCTAATCAGGAGTAGTTCTTCTCATTCTAGAGTTGCCCAGGCCTCAAATATCCATGAGTAGGGAACAGATAGATAACTCCTTGATCTCACAACAATGAGAGATTATGCATATATTAAAAGAATAAAGTACATCTCTTAACTGCACTGAGTCATAGAGGCTAAATGAAAAAACCTAAGGTGAAATATAGTTTTTAGCTGGGTGCAGTGGCTCACACTTATTATAATCTCAGCTATGTAGGAGGCTGAAGCAGGAGGATTGCAAGTTCAAAGCCAGCCTCTGCAATTTAGCAAGACCCTGTCTCAAAATAAAAAAAAAATAAAAAGGGCTGGAATGTAGCTCAGCAATAGAACACCCCTGGGTTTAATTCCCAATACTGCAAAAAAAAAAAAAAAAAGGTTTTATGGAGAAATACCTTTAAAAAAATATCTGTGAGGGGCTGGGGTTGTGGCTCAGTGGTAGAGTGCTTGAATGGCATGTGTGAGGCACTGGGTTTGATCCTCAGCACCACATAGAAATAAATAAATGTACTGTGTCTATCTATAACTAAAAAAAATAATTTTTTTAATGTACCTATGAATTTCCAGGAAAAAAATCTTGAGTCATATGAAGCAAGCTAACAACAGAAGTAATTTCTGGTGGTAGAATTAGAAGAAATTTTTATGGTGTGTGTGTGTGTGTGTGTGTGTGTGTGTGTACAGTGCTGAGATGAAACCCAGGGCTTCAGGTGTGCTAGGCACATATTCTACCACTGAGCTACCCTGCCAGCCCATGGGATTTTTACTTTTTACATGATACATACTGAAATTTCAATAAAAATCATGTCATATTTGTAATGAGAAGAAACTATAAATATATGAAATTAGTGTTTTAAGTTTTTTTTTTTTTTTTAATAAAGCTTTCTAGGAAATGCAGGTTTCTCCAGAAAAGTCCTGTTCCCTGGGTTCTACCTCCTGGCAGCTTTCAAGTCTATTTCTTTTTTTTTTTTAATATTTATTTTTTACTTGTAGTTAGACACAATACCTTTATTTATTTATTTTTATGTGGTGCTGAGGATCGAACCCAGGGCCTCGCACATGCTAGGCAAGCACTCTACCGCTGAGCCACAGCCCCAGCCCTCAAGTCTATTTCTTCTTCATCCCCCAAACCTCTACCTTTGTTCAAAGCTCTTTGTCTCTTGCTGGAACTGCTTAAATTGCCTCCTAACAGGTGACAAGGATTCAAGTCTCACAACAGTCTAGTTGTTGGATTTATCTGGATAACAGAAAAATTTTTAAAATGCATCAGTGTTTGTTGCTGCAGCATGACATTCATAACCCTCTGAGGTAGGTCCTCTTACAACCCTTATTTTACAGATGAGGCTAAGCGGTTATTTACAAAGTTTAGAAGCAGCCTACCACATTTGAGAACCCCTGACCTCAATGTCACCTAGGAATTTAGAAAACATATTATTAGGCCCCACTTCAGACATACTGAAAAACAAACTCTTCATTTCCACAAGCCCTCCAGGTAATTCTGATGCATGAGTTCGAGAACTGCTGCTCTAGCACAGGATACTCCCTGTAGTTCCCCAGATACAGAACACCCTCACAGCCAACTCATCCTTTCATATTAGTTCAAAGCTCCTTCTCTAGGTTGACTTGCCTGACTCCCTCTCCTGTCAGAACTCCCTTCTCTGGTGTCTCAAATTGCTTTATTCACGCCTCTATCATAGTCTTTATCATGTTGACTTTTTCCTCCCTTCATTTCATTTCATTTTCTTCCAATGTGACAGTATTTTGAATGGAAAAAAAATATTTTAAAAATAAATTAGGGCACAGGAGCTGAGGCACAGTGGTAGAGCACATGTGAGGCACTGGGTTCAATCCTCAGCACCACATTAAAAAAATAAATAAACAGATAAAATAAAGTTACGTGTCCACTACAACTAAAAATGTTTTTTGAAAAAGAATAAATTAGGGGACTGGGGTTGTAGGTCAGTTGTAGAGCACTTGCTTAGTATGTGTGAGGCACTGGGTTCTATTCTCAGCACCACTTATAAATAAACAAATAAATGTCCATTGACAATGAAAAAAAATTATTTGAAAAAAGAATAAATTAGGGGCTGGGAGTGTAGGCAGGGGTAGAGAGCTTGCCTAGCACATGTGAGGCACTGGGTTCGATCCTTAGCACCACATAAAAATAAATAAAATAAAATATTGTGTCCATCTACTACAACAACAAAAAGAAGAAATTAATAAGTAATATATGATGACTTAACAACATAATAATTAATAAATCTGTATAGATACGAAATTATCCACATAATCCCATTACATTGGATATATCCTTGTTTGAGGATATAATGTATCTAACGTATTGTTCTATAATGTTGACTTCAAAAAATGTTTTTTTCTTCATTTTTGGTACTGGGCACTAACTATACTGGGCTACATCCCCAGCCCTTTTTATTTTGAAACAGGGTCTCACTAAGTTACAAAGACTGGCCTCAAACTTGGGATCCTCCTGCCTCAGCCTCCTGAACTGATGGGATTATGGGTGTGTGCCACTGTACTGGGTTTATGATATTGATTTATAGTTATCGTTAATGCTGAGCTACCTAAGGCCAGCAAGGGCATCTGAGTCATCTTTGTATCTTCAGTACTTAGGATATATTAGACACTCAAAAAATGCTTCTGAAATGAACAATGAAATGAATAATCAAAATCAAGGAGCAGAGTGGAGAGGTGAAGGAGGAGGGGGTACAGAACGAACCTCCTGGATCTTTTCCAGCAGTTTGATCACACCACACATTTCAGACCCACCCTGCACCTGCCTTCTTAGAATGATATTAACTTCTGAGGGCACAGACACATGTTTTGGTATGATTGGGTAGGGGACCAAAGATGCTATGTCCTGGGTAGGGTTGGGGTGAACTCATGTAGTCCTTCTACTCAGGGGTCTCCCTTCACTTTCAGTGGGTGCTCTTTTTCAGGAGTCACAATCTGGAGGTAAGAAGCCCAAGGAGACAGTATTGCCTGTCACCCCACCCATACCCCCAACCCTAGTACCTCACTCTTAGCAGGGGACTCAGGCGTGGTTGGCTTCCGGACAGTCACAGGCGGAGGCAGGGGGCTGCTGGCCAGGGTCGCAATCACCTGGCCCTGAGCATTCAATAACAGTTGGGGGGTCACGGCCTGGACTTGCAGGCTTTGGGCTGGTGCTGGGGCTGCCACACTAGCTGAGTTCACCACCCATGGAAGTGTTCCAATAACCTGGGAGGAAATAAGGCAGGGACCCCAGGCATGAGGGCAGTGCCCAGCTCCTCCCCAACCCAGATCCCCACACTGGTAGATGAAGATGCTAATTTGGACAAATCACTTAACCCCTCTGTCCTCCGTTTCCTCATCAACAAAGTAAAGGATTCACACTAGAGGGGCTCCTTTCTTTATTCTATCCAGAGCTGCAGCATGACAGCAATAGGTCTGTTTATGAATCAGAGACTTGGATGCCAATCCTGGCTCTACAACATTTCAGTTGTGTGGCTTAGTTTATCTCAACTTCAGTCTTCTTTCCCACCAAATGGGAATAAAAATCTCTACCTAATAGATTTGTATCCAAAATGAGAAAATGTATAAGAAAGCACCTAGCCCAAAGCGTAGCCACAAAGTAGGTGCTCTTTAAATGAAACCCCCCAACTAGAATGAGCACCTGTAGGACAGGTTAGTACTACCCCTGCCTGGCCTCAGCATCATCAGAGAGCCACCATAGGGAGCTATGAACAGCAATTTGACACCCTATTTGAGTTTCTATGACTGTTAGCCCAATTCCTGGCCCACTCCTGGCCAGCTTCTCCATAGCCCCCACCCCCCAGGCTTGGCTTTGACCACTTGCCTGTCCCTGAGCATTGGTGAGGATCTGACTGCTGATCCCTGGCATGCTGGGAATGGCGTTGGTAATGACCGGAGTTGTAGTGAGGGAGCCCAGGATCTGGGTCTGTCCCCCGAGGGAAGCAGCACTGATCTGTGGGTGGAGGAAGAGTCCTGCTCAGAGGCCAAGGGGTGAGAAAGAGACTCTGATAAAAGGAAAAGGGCTGGGGTCATGGGGATGGGCATTTGTGAACATGGCCAGGACTGCAGGCCCATGTCCACAGCTGAATAGTATCCAGCACTATGTAGGGCTTCAAGGGGCAGTAGGGTAGGGCAGAGACCACAGTCAGGACAGTAACTGGTTAATCTTTGGGGCCAGGCCTGGAGGGTAGAAGGGCCTGACTGGAGGGGCTGATGTGTTCCTAGTCACATCTGACAGCTCCACTGCCAAGCCGGGAGCCACACCGAATAGACACCAGCACAGAGTAGTGAGCCTCTAACTGCACTTCATGGCAGCTCACAGATATGCAATCCCTAGACATCATCCCACCCTCCAAGGCTGGTCCAGTGGTTCAGGTTCTGGAGAATTTGCCCAGCTCTCTTGGCAGAGGCTGTATGCTTTTGCCTGAGCTGGACAGGTGACAGCTGCAAGAAGACCTCAGAGGGAGCTCATCTCGGCTGATGTGTTGGAAAAGGGCTGTATTCAAGGGGCTGGTCCTCCACTGCGGGAAGGGTCAGTTCTACCCTTGGCCCAAGATTTGATCCATCCCTGGTCAGCCTTGGGTGAGGGCAGCAGCTTACGATTCCTGGACTAAACGCGAAGCCTGCAGGCTGCACGGTGATCTGTGGGGTGGTGTCCACTGGCTTGGGGGTGGGGGCAGCAGCGGTGGCAGCAGTGGGCTGTGGTAGGATGGCAGGCGTGGTCTGCAGCAGCGGCTGGGTCTGGAACAGTGTCTGGGGCTGGGCTGGTGGCCGGGGCTGGGCCGGTGAAGAGGCCTGGACTGGTGGGGCAGCTTGTACGGGTGCCGGGAGAGCGGTGTTCAGCACAGCAGCTGCTATGGAGCAAGGCAGAGACAGAGGTGCTCAAACACCTAGCCATGGCCCAGAGTGGCTCCAATCCCAAGGGATCTGGCACAAGAATAACATGGGGTTGGGGCAATGGGCATAGGGGGCGCGCAGCTGCCTTGATCCTTGAAGGGCTGGCACATGCCAGCATCTCTCATCCCCCCTCCCTTGGGCCAGGAGATGGTAGGTTCAAGAACCAGATGTTGAATCTTCTTGCAGTCCTTCTCAGGAAGCTGGCATGGGGGGAGGGGCAGTCTCAGGCAGTTGGTTGAAGGAAGAAAGGCCTGCTGGGCTGACATGATGTCCTGGCCTAGAGTTCCAAGATGGTGCAGCGGCTCTGTGGCTGGGAGCCTGGGACACTGATGCAGACTCCAGGGCTGTTGCCCTGAGTGGGCCGTGGGTTCTGAGTCCGACATGGCAAGCACGTGTGCAGGAGTGGTAGTGTAGGGTGGTGGGGGGCCTGGTGCAGTCCTGGGGAGAGTTGCCGTTACCTTGCAGACCAGCTAAAGGTGGCTTGAATAGTGCCCCCGTGGGAGAAGCAGCAGTCAGTCCTGGGAGGGCAGCCACAGTTGCTGTAGGAATTGTCCACACGGCCAGCCCCTGCTGCCCAGCCACTTGACCTGCAATACTGATGGGGATAAGAAGAGGTTGAGTAACTGCCCCTGCTGGAACCATAACTCCTGTCAGAACTGTGGCTAAGTTTTCCTGAGTCAAGACCTGCAAAAGCAAACAAGATTTCAAAAAGAAAAGAAAAAATAAAAAATCAACATTGATAGCGCAAACACTGGGTCTCTCAGACCCAGTTGAGCACAAACAAAACATTTTAAGGGCAGTGGGGAGAGGCCACAGGAGGCAGGGAAGAGCCATGCCCTAGCTGGAGGCTGGATCTGAGAGGGTGCCTGAGCCATACTATCTTGCCTGCAGAGAAGTGGCCCAAATCAAGGCAGGGCCCAGCCCTGCCCACTGGACAGGTAGGGCTGCACAGACCTTCTCTGCGGTCTGCTGTCTCTTAAGCCTCCCCCAAGTTTCCCCCAGGCTCTGGTGGAGGATGCCCTCTGACTGGATGCCTCAGAGATTAGTGCATGGAGCAAAAGTCACCAGGGCTGTGCTTGCCTGCAGGATCCTACAGGCAGCTTCTCACTGGCTGGGGCTGCTCCCTGTCTCTAAATGAGGACTCTGAACACTCTATTAACTCTTCCAGGCATCTGCTAAAGGAGCTGACAAAGCTATTCACTTATTTCATTATTAAGATAAGCAGAAACTCTGGCAACATGAAAGAGTTAATGGAATTTCTATAGTTCTTTCTGGACCCAAAGAAACTGCCCAGCAAATGCAGATCTTTTCCAATGGGCCTGATTTGGGGAAGGGAGAGGCCAGGGGTCCCAGTAAGAGATTCCCTCCCTCAACCCATACCCTTTCTCTGTCCTGCCTCATGCAATTCCCAGATCCATGGCCACCCCACACCTCATTCCTACCCACTGCCCTCAGTCCAGCTCCCTGGGGTGGCCCTTACCTGGGGGGCAGCTTGTACAGCCAGTGGTGTCAGGGTCTGCGATGCCTGAGGCTGGCTTGGGGCTTGGCTGAAGGTGGCAATAGCGGGGGCAGGGTTCGGAAGGATCCCGGGAAGTGACTTCACTTCACATGGCATTGAGAGAAAGAAGGACATGGAGTGAGCCTGATGTGAGTGGAGGGAGTCACTGGGGTAGAACATCTTGTCTGCCACCTGAAGTGGCAACTCTCAGACCCATTTTGTATTTCTGCATAACTGAAAACTATCTGTTGGCCTTCCCTGGCCCACAAGGCAGCTTCCCCAACGCTACTTATAGTGAGAGTAGGAGGCTGGTAGTTCTGGGCCAGATCTGGAAGATAGCCACTCTCTTCCTGAGTTAGGCACAGGGAAATTAGGTGCTGGCAGGCACCTCTGCAAGCAACCTGTGGGCTGCTCCTGCTTAACCACAGGCATCCTGCTAGCATCTGATTAGAGAAAACATTTTGCCTTAACCATGATGTAGGCCGCACTCCAGAGCCAGCTGTAACTGGTTTCTTGCACAAACTCACCAGAATGATTCCTGACCTTACCTTTACCTTTTGCTCATTAAGGTTGATTACTATATATACTCACATACCCTTTAGCTGTCTAATTAAAACTGAGCAATTTTCCCTAAAAGGACCTCCCAATTCAGAGAATCTCTTCCATTTTCAGCCTCTGCTTAGGAGGATTAATTTTCCTGAACAATATAAACCACAACCCATATATCTGTGAGTCTCTCAAACTTTGGGCACGCCTGCACTTAGTCCTTGAGTATGTACTTTCGCTTTGCAATAAACTCTCTTTGCCACTGAAACTCTGATGTGTCCTTAAATTGTTTTCTGTAATGTGATCAACAACCTGGAAGGGTCAGGAGCAGTGGTGCATGCCTGTAATTCCAGCAAAGCAGGAGGCTGAGGCAGGAGGATCACACAGTAAGATCATATCTCAAATAAAAAAATATTTTTTGTTGGACAAAATGTAATGAAACATAAAAAAGGTAGACTTTTATAATTTATGTTTGCCACATAACTTATAAAACCTACCTCATATGTGGGCTTTTCTTTTTATCTAAAGAAACGAAACATTCATTTTTTGGGTCCTATTTCCTTGGACCCTGGTGTCCAAGGGTTTATATATATTTAGGATTTTTCCACTTCCTTCCATACTGCTTTATAGAAAGACTAAACTAACTCTCAGAATCACCAAAAATGTACCTGCTTCTCCACAGCACCACCTAAGTTAGGTTTTAGCACTTTTTTTTTTTTTTTTTTTTTGCTTAATAGTCTGTGCTACCTTCCCTGTCTGCCCTGCCCACCCACCGTGGCAGTACTGGGGAGTAAACCCCAGTAGAAGACCCCTCTGCAAGGTGTTGAAGAGAAAAGTCATTGTGCTTTGAGCCACATCCCCAGCCCTTTTTATATTTTATTTTGAGATAGGGTCTTGCTAAGCTGCTTAGAGACTAATTAAATTGCTGAGGCTGGCTTTGAATTTGTAATCCTTCAGCTTCAGCCTCCCAAGAGGCTGGGATTACAGATGTGTGCCACTGCACCTGGCTCCCCAGCCTTTTTATATTATTTATTTATTTATTTACTTATTTTTAGCTGTCAGTGGACTATTATTTATTTATTTATGTATTGTACGTGGTGCTAAGGATTGAACCCAGCACCTCACAATGCTAGGCAAGCTCTCTATCACTGAGCCACAGCCACAGCTCCTTATTTTTTATTTGAGACAGGGTCTTTCTAAGTCATTGAAGCTGACCTTGGACTTGCCATTCTCCTGCCTCAGCCTCCTGAGTTGCTGTGATTACAGGCACGTGCCACCAGCATCTGTGATACTTCAAAGTCAACTACTTTTCTTCTCATTGATAGCAAATTTTAAAATTTTTCCATATGATGACTTCCTTCTATGTCAATATTTAATTTCTCTTTGACAGGATTTTTAGTGGACTATACCACAAAGAAGACATTTTTAAAAATATTTATTTATTTTTTTTTAGTTTTAGGTGGACACAATATCTTTATTTCACACTTACGTGGTACTGAAGATCGAACCCAGTGCCTCGTGCATGCTAGGTGAGCACTGTACCACTGAGCCACAACCCCAGCCCCCAAAGAAGACATTTTTTTAATTAAAAAATTATTATTATTATTTTTTAAAAATTTGAGACAGTGTCTTGCTAAATTGCCCAGGTTGCCATCCTTCCTGATACCTAATTCTGTTCCTTTTCAAACCTGCTCTGAGAAATGAATTCTCAGTAGCTGGGAAGGGGAAAAAAATTAAAGAAACAATAACAAAGAGGTTCAAGGCAGAACTGTTAATGAAAATAAAAAGACAAACAATTTCACATGAAGCAGTGTACGAATCTATGTCACTAATAGAAATGGGCATATGAAATAATATGGTGCAGAGTGTTATACTCCATGTCTACTCTCGGTGGCTGCACATACAAAAATATGTGTGTGGCAAGGACTGGACACAAGAGAGACACAAATTACTAGATTATTTTTAATCCTGAAAAGATCCTCTATTACTTAGTTTTGTTTTAATATGAGAGACCCCTTCTTAGTATTGCATACTAAGAAAGGTCCCATCAATCTAAGCTGGCAGCTTACTAGGCAGTACCATCAAACTACCCTGACAATGGGACCAGGGTTGTGGCTCAGTGGTAGAGCACTTGCCTAGCATGTGTGAGGCACTGGATTTAATCCTCAGCACCACATAAAAATAAATAAATAAAATAAAGGTATTATATGTGTACACACACACACACACACTTGGGCCCTGACAATGACTAAAATCCTTTCACTGAGAGGAAGACTTTGGTGAAAGGCTTAAATATACAGACCTCTGGAAGAAGATGCACACTACATAAGCACTCAAGCTGAAGTGTAAATAATTGATTTAGAATCCATTTCTCAGAGCAGTTTTGGAAAAGGAGCAGAATTAGGCACCAGAAAATGAGTTATGGAAGACAGATGAAAGGTGAAAAATGGAAGTCGAGGCACTGCAGATAAACTCAAGAAACCTCCTCAGGGTTTTCTGAAAAGGAGCCCCATCTCCACAGTGGCTCTGCTGAGAGGAACAAGTGGGATAAGAGTCCTTGTCTGTCCTGCCCATTCCCCAGGGAATTGCACCTTAAAAAAAGTAGGTGGAATCCCTTGTCATTCCTATATTCAAAAGGAGAATTAAGTTACTGAGGTCACTAGGGTCCCAAGAACCTGCATACTGATTTGCAAGTAGATCAAGGATGGTGAAGTCATGCCATTTTCTTGTTAAGAAGCTGTTGTTTCTCTGAAGTTTGTTAGTTCTAATTTGCTCTTTTTTGGCTCTCCAGTCTAGGGAAGGGGTGAAGAATAGTAGAAGGCCAGAGGAAATGAATCATGGTGTTCTGAGGGAACTGGTAAAGGAGGCCCAAGGCTTTCTGCAAAAGAAGAAGACCACTCTGCAAGGTGTTGAGGAGGAAAGTCAATGAAAGGTCCCTCAAGGCTGGAAAGCAGCACCAGGGCCACCCCAGGGCAGCCCTGTTTCTCTCACAGCTGTCTTGCAGGTGAATGCAGCTTACTCTGTAAGGTTGGCTTTGCAGAGGGGCAGCACCTATAAAACTGCAGAGAGGAAGGAGCAGGGATTTTTCAGGAGTTCTACCTAGTCTCCTTTCTTTGAGGAAAGTAGGATGCCCTCCCATTCTCAGTTCCTGGGACATCTCAGTTCTACCACAAAAAGGACAGGGTTAGAAAGGCCAGAAGGATACTGAAGGCCCAGTTCTCTTTGCATTGGGCCTGACCATTTGGTTTGGACCTAGGAGCTCTCTGAGGTTGATTCAACCTAAGCTGAAACATGCCAATCACCTCCCATCATTCCCAGCAGTGGCTGTAAGAGGAACTAAAGCTCCAGGAAAAAGGAATGCAGAGTAGCCCTACATGCTGACTAAAAGTGGACTGTGGTCACATGCTGCCCAGCGGATGGGAAGACAAAATCCTAATGCCACCTGGGCCCCTGGGACACATGCTGGCTCCCCAGAGAATCACAATGGACTCAGAGGTAGTGATACCAGATTGGAGCAATGGTCTCATACCAGCCTCTGCAGAGGGGTCTGGGTTGTCTGGCCCTGGGTTGCTGGCTTCAGCAGGGCCTCCACTCTGAGAGCTGTCAGCAGCCACACTCTCCAGTCCTTTGCCCTCATCTTCAGCAGGGATCTGGGCATCCACTCCAACTTCTAGCACTCGGATGGTCTCGTGGCTTGACATCACGATGACCTGTAGGCAGATGACAAGGAACACCGCTGAGAGGAGGAGTCAGCATAGCCCCTGGTATGGCTGGAGGAGAGAGAGGGTACTTCAGATGTAGACCTCCCAAGCAGCAAACAGTGTGCTCTGTGAGAACACCAAATTCTGGGGCAGGCTACTACTCTCCTATTCCATGGAAAGAGCTGCTAGAAGAAGACAGGTCCTAGTGTCAGGGAGAAGGGTCTGACACAGTTGGGAAAAGTCCCAGAACTTTACCACTTGAGAGATAGTTCTATTTGCTCCCCCTCTTGGGCTCAGTTCAGGGAATAGGAAATGGCCTATCCCACAAACTTGCAAGGATGTCCTCTTGGCTGCTAGGACATGGTAGTGTGGCTATGAGGGATCCCAACACAGTACACATGACTTAAGTTGGACCAGGAAACAAATCCATTTTTGATTCTCTTGAATCTGTCTGGAAGTTCCCCAAAGGCAAAGGGATGAAAAATAAATGCTCCCTATGCTGAGTAGCTTTTAAGCTCACAATGCCTTTATTTCCAAAACTCTGGAGTAAATTACCAGGATTCCCCTGCAAGTTAACTTTCTGAAAGAAGAGTGAGGAATCCTAAAGATGTTCTCATCTTCCTCACCCAGCCCAGCTATGGCTCCAGTGGAGCTGGGTATCCTAACAGCCTGTGGTTTCTATCATGCTATCCAGCAGTGGGCATACTCAGAGTATAAGGGTGATCCTCCATGTGTATGATGCAGGCAGACCCTGAGTCACCTTAGAACACTTGGTGGTCTTCTGCTCAAATGCCCTGTTTCATGCACTGAAGTACTGCCACTTGGGCCCTTCAAGAATCAGAGACAAAAATCTGTACATTAAAGTGCTTTGTGTCAGTCCTACCCTGCACTTGGCCTGGGCCACAAACCACTGCCACACATGCTTCTGAAGCCTGAAAACTGAATCCAGCCAGAAACTTCTGTAAAAAGTGACAAAATGATACTTTCCCAACAGGAAAGTAAAAGTGAAATAAATCCCCCAAAGCATTCCCTTTTACTGACTCAAACTCGATCTATGAGGGGCTTCACTGCACTTACATTTTAAAAGATATTCATTTTTTTCTCCTTTTAAAAAATGACACAAGAACTAAACAGTCATTGCAGAATTTTTTTAAAATTAGAAAAAATTAAAAATAAATTACTTGGTGTCCAAACCTTTCCTTGTTTAAATTATATGTATTTGTGCATTTTAATTCCAATTTTAAAAGTCACAGCTAAAGCCCCCAACTCAGAATCTGAGAAGTCCTAGTTGGCAACTCCCTGTGATGAAATAACCATGAACTTTGGTAAGAAACAAAGAGGGGTGCTGTGGAGCCTTCCTCCCCTACCCACACCCTTTGGTCCATTGCCCTTACCACCCCATCCCTTCTTATCCCAGAAGATACCTGCTCATTGACAGTCAGAGAGGACTCGGACCCGGCTCCAGGATCCATGGTCAGTTGTCAGGGTGGGGTGGGGGCTGGCCCACACCTAGTGCATCCTGGGTAAGATGGGATTGGAAAAGCAAAGGCTGATATGATACAGCAATATAATTTCCAGACCATCTAGAAAAGTCAGAAATAGAATGATAGGAAGACAGAAAAGTTAGGTTCTCCCAAGTATCTGGAGAAGTAAGGAAGCAGGATTCTAAGAGTCTCACTTCCTACAGAATCCCAGGAGAACCTACACTCAGGAGGAACCAGGAACATCTGTGCTTAGAATGACAAGAGAAAAGGGAGGGCCAGGCATCTCTCCCTGGGGGTTCCCTGATCCAGTGGGAGACAGCACACCCAGCAGAACCCAAAACAAATATGAGAGTTAATCAGACCCTTAGACAAAGATGAGGAGCACTCTGGTTATCAGAGAATTACTCAGAGGAGAAATCTAGGTGAACTTCCTGGAAAAGATGGTAAAGACATAAATTAGCAAAGTGGTCTCAAACTTTAATATGCACCTTTAATATCACCACCTGGAGCATTTACTAAAAATGCATATCCCAGAACCTTTCCCTCCAACAACTCTCAGAGTCTGATTCAGAGGGTGAATCCCAGATTTTGCTCTCAGGTGAGTTTGTGGCAGTGGCCTAAGGACCACAGTGGCCTGCCGGCACATAGGAGGTAGAACATCTCAGATGGTGGAACAGCCTGCCAAATCCAATAAGGAGTGGGAAAACCCATGTCTGGCTGGAGCCACAAACCATAGAGTTGAAAGAAATAAAAGAAATAACCAGGTACAGTGGTGCACACCTGTACACCCAGCTACTCCAGAGGCTGGGGCAGGAGAATGGTAAATTCAAGGCCAAACTGGGCAACTTAGTGAGACCCTGTCTCAAAGTAAAATAAAAAGACAAAAAGAGTGGTGATGTAACACTGTGGTAGAGTGCCCTTAGGTTCAATTTCTAGTGATGCAAAAAAAAAAAAAAAAAAAAGAAAAGAAAAAGTAAATAAAAGGGGTAAATAGATTTATGTTTAGACGTTTATATAGACATGAGGGCATTAAAATTGAGTTGAAAGCCTACTGTAGGCTACTGTGGGCTATGTACTTTATGTAATACTCACTGTACTAACTGATGTATTATTACTCATGCCCACTCTGGGTGAGGAGTGGGAGTGGTGACATTAGTATCACCACATTACAGTGAGGAAACTAAACTCAGGAAGGTATTCTGAATTCTTCACTTTTCCCTTCCTTTTTCTCTTTCTCATTTCACCCCTGTTTTTTTCTTTTCTTTTCTTCTGTTTTTGTTTGTTTTGTTTTGTTTTACAGTGCTAAGAATAGAAGCCAGGGCTTGTGCATATTAGGCAAGTGTTCTACCTGAGCCATATCCGCATCTCTCACCCTGTTTGAAATTTGAGGTAAAATTCTGCTATGGTCTGGATGTTTCTGTCCCCTCCAAATTCATGTTGAAATCCTACTTCCCAAAGTCATGATATTAAGAGGTGGGGTCTTTGGTAGGTGATGAGGTTTCATGAATAGATTTAGAGCCTTTTAAAAGAGACCACAGAGCATATATGATTACATGAAAACAGAGCAAGAAGGAACTGGGAGGAGGCATGTCGTCACCAGACACTGACACTTTAATCTTAATCCAGCCTCCAGGGTTGTAAGGAATAAACTTCTGTTGTATCTAAATTATCTGATTTATGATATTTTGTCATAGCAGCCCAAACAGACTAAACAAAGTTACGTAACATAAAATTCACCATTTTAACAATTTAATTATTTAATTTTTCACTGCTGAGACTCCAACTCAGAGCCTTGGGCATAGCTAGGCAAGCACTTTACCACTGAGCAACATTCCTAGTCCCCTTTTTAATTATCTTTAAGTGCATGATTTAGTGGAATTTAGTACATTCACAATGTTGTGCAACTGTTACCAACTAGAACTTACCAGTTCTAGAACATTTTCATCAACCAAAAGGAAATTCTGCCAGTTAACACTTCCCCCCGACTACCACCTCCAAGGAGGTAACAATCTGCTTTCTCTCTATATATGAATTTGTCTATTTTGGATATTTCATATAAATGGAATAATACATACATGACATTTTATTTAGCATATTTTTCAAGGTTTATCCATATAGTAGCACATATGAGGACTTCATTTCTTTTCATGGCTGAATAATATTCTGTTATATGGATCTACTACTTTTTTTTTTTTTTTTTTTTTTTTGTGATGCTGGGGATTGAACCAAAGCCTATGCATGTAAGGCAAAGACTCTACAAACTGAGCTATATCCCCAGCCCCAGATCTACTACTTTTTTTTTTTTTTGAGATATTGGGGATTTAACCCAGGGGCACTTTATCACTGAGCTACATACCTAGTCCTTTTTAGTTTTTATTTTGAGACAAGGTCTTGCTAAGTTGCTTTAGGGCCTCACCTCACTAAGTTGCTAAGGCTAGCCTTGAACTTGTGATCTTCCTTCCTCAGCCTCCCGAGTTGCTGGGATCCCAGGTATGCACCACCCAGACTACATTTTGTTTATCCATTCACTAGATTTGATGGATATTTGGGTTATTTCTATCTTTTGGTTATTGTGAACAGTGTGTCTATAAATATTTGTGCATAATTTGTTTAAATGTCTGTTTTCAATTCTTTTGAATATGCATCTATTGCTGGGGTTTTAGCATCTTTCCCCCTTGACAAAATGCCTCCTGGTCAACCAGGCAAGGCGAACCTTGAGGTTTCTTCCCTCCTCTTCCTTCCTCAAGGGAAAGATAAGCAATTCAAGATAGCTATCCATTTCAAAAAAGAAAAAATCTTTCCCTTTCCAGGCAGGACAGGGGATGCAGGAGAGACAGAGAATTTTCTGGAAAAACTAGTGAGCATCTGCCTACCTTCCTGGGATACTAGCCTCATTCCTGTGTGATGTCCTCCCACCATATTTTGTACATGGGAGTCTTCCATGAAATTTTCTAGGGACTTGGCAATTTACTACCACTGCTGAATGAAAACTGAGATGAGCCAATGAAAGTTGTTCATATAGAAGTAATCAGTAAGTCATTTGCAAATTCAATTAAAAGACAGAGATAAAATTGAAAGAAAAGGTGTGCAAGGTGAATTTAGGTCTATTATAGCTTGACATATACATTCCAAAGGAAGAAGAAATTTCCATTTCCAAAGAAGGCCATCATGAGGAAGGCAGCAGTAGCCAGTCTTTGAGACATCTGCTCAGAGAAGTAAAAGCTTGCTCAGAATCTTATCGTGGCCGAGGCCATTCATAAGGAGTGGTTAAGCATAGGCTGGTATTCACTTTGAAACTGTGTTATTAGGGCTGAGCTGAAGGGTATAGTCAGTCAACCCTTCGGTCCCTCTCCAGGTAATCTCAATCCATTTGACAACTACCAAATCAAAATCTCTATCTTAGATTTCATCCAAGAACTTTAGACTCATATCAAACTGCCTACTGAATGCTCACATCATTTAATCTGATATAAGAAAAACTAAGGCTTGGTGATTCACTTTTGAGATTCTATGAGTTTTGAGAACCTGGGTCCTTCAGTGTCTAGTCCTTTTTTTCAGGACAGTAGGCCTGAGTCAGCCACTGGCCATACCTAGGCTCATCCTAACCCTCTAACCAGACTTCAGTCCAACAGAAATCTGCATACAGCAGAGGCAAAAGACTCCCCTTGTTCCAGACTTTAGGCCTCCCTTCTACCTTAGTCTCCTATCAGAGTCACACATGTGATATAAACGCCTCTCTAATGAGTAGGCACTCAGCATTTTAACTCTGAGCTATGTGCCATGGATTCCCTTGCTTGCTTATTTGTGCACTTTACTCTGGACCTGCTCTAACCCCTCATCAAGAACTTTCCACATTTTCTCAAGCTTCAGGCTGTGATTTGGTTTCACTGATTAGGCGGTTATCTTATTTGCTTTCAGACCATTTCCCCAGTGATGTGAAAATAGCACATTTGGAGGATCCCCTTTGAGCCCGGATGCTATTCATTGTCTACAGCCTGATAGGGAGGAAAAAGAATCAGCTGTCATGTTTCAGAGAAGGAGCTCCTTTCCCCACCCCAGCAATGGAACCCTAATATATAAGCAGAACTGATCTGGTTAAAGCTGGGGAGGGAATCAGAGTCCATCCAGAACCTTCTCCTTTGCCTCCTCTCTCCAATGACTCAAGTTTGAAAAACACCTGAATCAAGATACCTATGTAGGGGCTGGGGTTGTGGCTCAGTGGCAGAGCACTTGCCTCACACCTGTGAGGCACTGGGTTCCATACTCAGCACCACATAACAATAAAGATATTGTATCCAATATTTTTAGTTATTGTATAACTAAAAAAAATTTAAAAGACACCTATGTAATTGATGTATCCTTTGCTTTTCTGTGCTAGAGTCTAAAATCCAAGCAACCTCAGAACAGAATGAACTGTGAGTGCTGAGGCATTTGTCCACAACCTAAGAACCCAGAAAGGTCCAAGGCCATCTAGGAGTTTCAATGGAGAGGAAGAGCTGGTTCTACTTGTCATTCTCCTTTGGAACTGTTCTGGACTTCAGGTAATATTCCAAGACACCCAGGAGGTGCATTGAGAAATCCCAAACAAGCCAGAACTTCCTAGAACAGTCTGAGATTCTAGTAGAAGAAATCCTGAAATGTCTTGTCCTGGCCAACACATATTTCCATGGCTACTATGTGTTGGGTATAGTGGGAGGAAAAAATACATTTCCCACCTTTGTCAAGAAGTCTACAGTCCAATAGGGAAGACAAGGAAATAAAAAGGTAACTATAATACAGCATTTCTAAGTATCCTGGTGGATGAACAGAAGTCAGCGGAGGATCCACAGGAGGGACATACAATGCAGTTTTGTGTGATCCTTGTTCTCACAAAGGTATGTACTTCAGACATGAATCTTGATATAAGAAAAATCTTGTCCTTTGTAGGAAAGTGAAACTTGTGTGGGATTTAGATTTTTTTTAATATTTATTTTTTAATTTTAGGTGGGCACAATATCTTTATTTTACATTTATGTGGTGCTGAAGATCGAACCCAGTGCCTGATGCATGCTAGGCAAGCACTCTACCACTAAGCCACAACCCCAGCCCCAGACTTTGTG